TTAAGTGAAATGAAAAATAGATCAAGCATAAATTGGAAAATAATATGGTAGTGCAATGGCTAGCTTAAATTGTACATGTACTAATTTTATTTTCGAAATTATGGAATTTATTTAATAACAATAACGAGAATTTCATTTATATCATTGTTATTATTATTACTATTTGTTGGTAGTAACTTGTTAAGTAACCTATATTATATTATAGGTTTAGCTTAGATAATTGGAAAATAATATGATAAGATATGATTAATGTAAAGATTATTGTATTAATGCAGATGTTGATCAAGGAAGTCACGAAAAAAGTAAATATTGATGTTCTTCAACTACTGTGCAAGATACATTAATATGTGAAATTATATGTTTATATGTGGTTGTTTCTTTTTCCTATGTAACATGGTAGTATGTTTCGTGTGCATTGAGTTTATTTGAAAAATGTATTTAAAGATTATGCATACTTTTGTCGTCATGCTGATTGAGTTACAGTTGAAAATTTTGAATGTCAATCATATTATAGATGTACCGTACTATTGTGTCCGAATAACTATACCGCTTTGAGGCTCCTGACGGTCATTAAGAGAAGCCAATAATAGGGTATTTGGGGTTCGGCACCTATATACAGGCAGTGCTAGAAGGTCCCTTGGTGGCCTTGGGACTGTGGATAGGCACCTGGAGCACTGTATATATATAGGCCAGGCCTTGAATTGGTATGTATGATATACTGATGTGGTATCTTGAATCTCAATGAGCAACAATGGATGCGTTGATATTGGTTTGCACGTAAGAAATGCCATGTTGTTTTGAGCCCATACGATACACTATAATAAGGATTTGGGCCCATGTATGCTTGACATGCATTATTGCATCATATTTACTGAACTGCATGGTTCACGTTTTGTATTTTGTATTGGAGATGCCATCGCGAAAAACTGAAATTATCAGAATCACCAGACATGCCGAAATTATTGAGGACCTCAAGGCTATACATGTTATTTATGGGCGTACTCACTATACACGTTTTTATACAATCGTTGACGAGGAATAAGGGATTGAAACTTTTGAAGACGATGAAGATTTTGTGATGGTAATGGTCGACGTTTATGATTTGATTATTTGTCGTCGTGTAAATACTATGATATACGTAGAATAGACAACAAGGTGGCATTATGTAAATTATGAAAATGAAAAGATTTTGGTAGACTTGATGTACCGCCATAACAGCATGTTGTAGAATAGGTCTAGAGAAAACTTTTTGAGAAAAATAAAAATAAAATTTGCAGGCATTTCTTTTGACCAAAATTTTTGCACAGTCATGGGACTAACTTGTTATGAGATGTATTTTGTGACACAAATTCTCTTTTGGTATAATATAAATTTGGTGGTTTTTTTAACTCTTTATATTATTAATTTGGTTTCCTTGATATGATTTGATTTTATTGTGAGATGCTTACTTGTGTTGAATACAAATTGTTAAATCCTAATATGATTTTAGTTTAAGGATAAAAATAATTAATTAAATTAAGGGTAGATCGTCATATCGACAGTGTATATTATGAGTTGCACTCGACCGGACATAGATTTTTCTATGAATAAACTTAGTAAATTCACTAGTTATCCAAGTCATTATCATTCGAAGGTTTTAACAAAGGTTATTAGGTACTTGAAATATACCTTAACCCATGGATTACACATCTTAAGGTATTGGAAGAATATTGTGATATTAATTGGATATCTAACATAAACCATTCTAAATCTACTAGTTGTTATGTATTTATCATTAGTGGAGCTGCTATATCATAGAAATCGACTAAGCAAATGTATATAACTCAATCAATAATGGAATCTAAGTTCATTGCTTTGGACAAAATCAGAGAAGAAGCAAGATGATTTCGTAACTTCTTAGAAGATATTCAAGTTTAGCCCCAAGTCTGTACCTGCAATAAGTATACATTGTGATAGTAAATTGGCTATTGAAGGAGCCGAAGTAATAAATATAATGGTAAGTCTAAACATAGACGCCGCACACACAATGCCATTAAGCAACTGACCCCTAATGATATCATCCCATGGATTATGTGAAATTAAAGAAGAACACTGCGGATCCATTTACGAAAGATTTGCTTAGAGATCAAATACGTTACCTATCGAAATGAATGGAATTAAAGCCTACTACATAAGAGTCTTTGTAATGGTAACCCTACCTTATTGACTGGAAATCCCAAAATCTTGGTTCAAAGGGACAATAAAGTTATGAGGATTCAACGAAGCATTTAGAAAATTATTTCCTACCTCATTCCTATGATATTAAAATGCTTTCTGTAGAGTAATAAGATGTTAAGATACCATTTTAATGATTCATATATCTTGATTAAGTCAAATAGAGTAGGGCAAAATATTTCTAATAGGAGGTCACCTATGTAAGTGTGAAGTGAGGCAGCTTCAGTGAGAATTGTTCAAGGCTAAAATTCTCGAAAACTTAATGAAATTCGAGAGCGGTTTAGGGCTAAAATGAACCAAGTCATGAGAACCACGAACGATTTAGGGAAGACATCTGTGTGAGTATTATTATCTTGGCTTACATTAACGGCTAAATGGTTCAAGATATCTCGTTCACCAATTAGTCAAGTAAGTCCGATAGTATTTCACTGAGGAAGGTTCAAAGTCGTAAGCTATCTTACCTGATGCAGTATATTTTTCACTCTCTATAATGCATTATAAATTTTTCACACTGTATATACATATTCGATTTTCTATTCATGTGGAGGATTGTTGAAAATTGGGAAATTGAGAAATTTTGGTTGAGTATTAATTTGAAAAAGTGACTTTTATATCAATTTCAACCAAATATATGGACTTGATTCGATAGTCAAATTACAAATGTAAATAGACTAACTTGTTATATTCATCGAGTAGATCATCGTGATATATTTGGAATCTCAAAATCAAATCTGGATGAACGAAAAATTGTGATTCAAAGTTAAAAAAAGAGGAAAAATGGTCTGGATTTTGCCTAGCTTCGTCGCTTGCTTATCGCTTGAGCAACAAGGCTGTCGCTCGAGTAACATGCTAGCGACAGGAGGGCGAAAAGTTTCTATTAAAATTTTGACATTGACTATTGAACAAGAGGCCAAAGACACCAGGTGATAATTCCTTTCGTAAAGTTGCGAGATTTGGTGCGCATCACTTCACCTACAACTCCTATCCTCTATAAATAGGACCCTTTGGCATCCATAGTGCATTCCGTATTTTGCATTTCATAAAATTTCTTGCAAAAACTCTTCAAAATCACTTCATACCAATGTCTTCTTGTAGAGAAAATGCTCTTTTCTAAATTCGCTGAAACTTGTAGTTTGAAGTGCTTGTACTACAAGTTGTATCCGTTGTATCTTGAGTGCTATATACCGTTAGCACCATTGCGGGACAATATGTTCAAGGAAAGAGTGATTATCACTTGCTTCATATCTCTTTCTTCTCATTTTCTTGTTTAATTGTTGGTTACACACCCTTAAAAATTTGTTGTGTTTAATTACGTTTCTACAAATTAAACATTTCTACTTCATCGATTCATTACAAACAACCATTTCTCTACTATATTCTAAACACATTTTCTGTGTATTTCATTAGCTTTGTCCATGACAAAATCCAACTAAGAATCCAAAATCACCTATTTATCTTTTTTCTTCACTTTGAGAGTGAACCCTCTTCTCTCCTCCAACAATGGACGCCAATGAAAGATTTGTGACTATCTTCGAGTGACAATATGTTCCCATTCAATATCTACACCTTTTACGAGTCAACAATGTGGTCGTTGTTGGAAAGGCTGAAGGTGATAGAGCTAGAATTCAAGGCCCACATAAGACTAAGATGGGTGTTGGAAATGGATACGAAGGAGTTGAGATAGAGTTGAATGGCGTTGTAGAGCTCAATGGTGTTGACGCCATCGATTTCAGTGATGTCGTAGTAGCAATAGGTGGAGAAGCAGTGGAACGGGTAGTGGAGAAACTTAAGGGAGGCAAAGCGGAACTCAGGTGGGAAAACAATATGGAGAATGATTTGGTAGAATGCCCATACACCCATCATGGATGCTATTGATGTCCAAACTTCCTTCACATTGCAACGGTTTCGTTTTGTTGTATGTGACAAAGTGATAGAGGGGAGGGGTGAGGTTATGTTAAGTGGGATAGAGCGTATATTGTAAATACAAGAGGTGAATTGTGCTCTGATTTATAAAGGTAAACATATGGAATATTGAATATTTGAATAGAATATGGTAAAAATGAAATCTTGATGGTAAATAAAATTTTGTTTTTGTTTTTCTTTAATAAAAATGTGGGGAAATAAAGTTTTAAAGACTTGGAATTGTAAGTGGTACATATAAAAATTGTGGGTTTAATTTGTAAAAAAATAAAAGTGTTGGTAATGAAACTACAATTATTCATTTTTATTTTTGGCATTTTCTACTATTTTTAACGGCAAATTTGATGGATTTTGACGGTAGATTTTCAAATAGGGGATTTTCTGAGATTTTTAATATGTAGAAGATATATCACACATGAAACATTGTTAAGGGGTTTTAATTTTTTATTTAATTATTATTATAATATATTTTATATTAAAATTTTAAAGTTACTATTTTACTGCTTTAAAAGTTGGTCATTTCTTTTTTAATGGTCATTAAACAGTCAAATGGATGGAAACCATCCATCCGAACTCCAAGTGTGAATTTTTAAAGGATTTGGTACCTCGGTGACGAAACAAATGAAAATTTTGGACAAAATGTGCTATTAAATAAAATATTTGATACCGTTGCCGCTATTATCCCAATAAAATAAATAAAAATCCCTGTTGGGCCCATTTTTCTCTCTTCTATTTTTAATCATGCAATCTTTCATAAATATTACACGAAAAAATTTTCGATTTGTTTTAAGCACTTCTTTTTTATAAAAAATAATATTCCACCGACTTTTATTTCAAAAAATGAGGCCAAACGGGGGCAAAGTTGCATGAAAATGTAAGAACTAAGAATTGGGATATTTTATCCTCGTTCCAAATTGGCTATTGGGTCATCTTCTAAAACCCTAGGCGGAGCTCCTCCCTTCGATTCGGCACGGCGGGGGAGAGAGAGTGTGTTTGGAACATTACTCTGATTGCATTTGCTCTTGGAATTCATAATGGCCAAGCGAGAGATATCCAGTACTTTGAAGAATCTGAAGGTATATACGATATAGATACTTGTTAAGTATTTTTTTCTGGCTCATAACTATAAATTTGATGAAACTTTCTGCTATTCATCTGGGCTTAACCTGAATTCATGTGTGTTATTTATTATTCAGTACTGGCTTCAGTTCTTGGGAAAGAAAGATTGTATTTTTTGTTATAAGCTCCGAATTATTAATTCAGTATATAAACCTATTTTTTTTTTTTTTATTTTCAACATATGTAGTTTATGCAAAGAGCACTTCAGAAAGAGGAGAAACTTAAGAAGGAAGAAGAGTCCACACCTGCTGGTGATTTTCCTTCTTCTACTGCCCCCAAAAGATGGTAAGTTTATTATTTTTAGAATTTGAATTCTGTCAAATTGGAAGCAGGTAATTATTTTTATGTTTCTTTAATTGTCTTAGGCTGTAATTTTTTACCTTTTAAGTATATTATAGCCTTTTTGGAATAGTTACTGGAAAAAAGAAACCAAGAAAAAAGGTGGGTTCAATGTTTATTGCGATTAAGTATAGTTTCCTTTCAGTAGATCGAATATATATGAGGGCAGCGTGAGTAAATTCTGCATCTCCTAGGCAATGCTGAGATCAGTTAGAGAACGTAGCTTGTTGTTACAAGATCATGATAAATGTCAACGTAGGGCTACCTGTGACCTATGTTGCTCGGACTCACCAAAAATGGAGAAGTATCCGTATCGACACAACATGACACGGATACTAACACGGGAGAAGATGGCGAAAGGTGTCTTGCTTCTCTAGCTTTCGTCTAGTGGCAGGAAAATTTGCAAAGAGAGAGAGTTGGAAAAGACAATGAATTAGGGAAGACGGTGAGTTTTAGAGGGGTTAAATGGGCTCTTGAGAAGTCCAATAGATAGAGTTAATGAGAATGTGTTAAATTAATTAGTTTACTTTTCTATTTAATTTAGTTTGAGTTTATTTATGTATAATTTTTTTATTTCTTATATTTTATCTTTGTGAACATTTTATGTTGTAATTAAAATGATTTAGTGATTTTATTTTTTGGTATTAAATTTAAATTTATTTCTATAATTGTTTTTAAATAATATATGACATTGAAGTGATTTTTTCTTAATTTTTTTGGAAAAGAATTTATTTTGACTTTAAATCTACAGCCTGCTTTGTTTGGATTAAAATCTGATTTAATCTAAATCAAAGTCAAACAATCAATATTAACAACATCTTTCATGGGTCCCACAACTTTTCAATCACATATTAAAAAAATCTAATTTTAATCCCTATTGAACACCCTCTTAAATTGATTTCAAATTATAATCCGATTGTTTAAATTGATTTTATCGAAGGAGTTGATAAACAAAATAAACTACGAGTTCATTTTTAACAACCGATATTAGTTAATTTGTTTACATGTTATTTTAACTTTTGTGGTTATTTACTTTAATTGAACCATTTTTCTCTTTGTTATTCTGGCATTGTTCTATCATTTTAAAATAAATAAATAAAATTGTAAAAAGTATCCCTGGACCCTTTTTTAAAATTCGGATCTTTTTTTACCGTATTCCCATATCTTAATTTTTATAATGAGAAAGATCCGACTCCTAGATATGTACCCATGTTCGATAACCACACTCCAGTCCGACCATCATAGCCTGAGACGATATTTCATTATAGAGAATGAAAATAGTTCAATTATATTTGTCAATTTCAATGTCGTGGTTCATCTGGAAAATTGGAGTACACGAAAACCAGTTTCATTTATAAGTTATTTCCTTTTTTATAGAACCCTTATTATCATGTTAGCTATGCTGCTGAAATTGTGTCCATTGTTGAACATCTGTTGTGCTGGTCACTGGAAATATAAGCTAATTATTTCAATTCTGTTGACGTGCAGTGTTGTTATATTTGAAGGTGATCCTCATCCCACTGCAACAAGAGGTCGAATGTCATTTTTAAGTTTTAATCCATCTATTGATGTGAGTATAAGGGTTTTGAATGACCTGCAGTTCTTGAAAGACTCTTCATTTGATATATTAAATCCAATAATCTCACACTAAAACTTATTTTGGTAGAAACTCGACGAGGTAGCAGTTAGCCCTAGTCAACCAGAAGCCTCTGCTACGAGTTCTGGAAGACAAAAAGAAAAAGTGTTGAACAGGTTGGCTGTCTGACCCTTTTAACTGTGGTTTTAGTTTTAGATAATTATGGGTTCCCTCAGTTTAGCACATGACATTATCTTTGTTGGAAATTAAATATATTTCTATATGCTTTAGCTTCTCAAGTGAATTCGTTAGCAGTGACCTCACTTTTTATCAAATTGATGCTCATGAATCTAGGTTGCTAAAGTAGCCTTCATTATATTTTGCTAGTATAATTGAATTTCATGTCGAGGAGATTCATGAACACTTAGTCCAAGTGGAAGGAGTTACTTATTCTGAATGTAACTTTCATCTTATTATCAAAATGAGTAACACATTTTCAATTTGGTCAGTAAAAAAATATTTATTGTAAGCTTAGTCAAACATTATCTATGAATTGCTAAGTTTAGGAACATACCGAGTTTTGTTGCCATGTTCTTTAATACATCATATTTTCCATTATTACAGAGAAAATGGGAACTTGCAAGATGGTTCACACTACTTGGAGCCAGATAGTTTGAGTGGTGATGCAAGTGGAGGTCTTCAGAGGAAACGAGCTGATGCCTCTGAAGCACCATATCCAAATAAATTTCCGAAATGTTTTCAAGATGACCAACATTCATCTCCAAGTAGAAGTCGTAGTTCGCAAAACCAACACAAGCGTGAAAAGATGGATTGGAGTGTTCTCCGGCCTCCGAAGCATCAAAAGAAAAAGAAGTAAGTGCTATTAGGTCTGCTGGACTGGTTAATGTTTCGTTGTACTTTCTTTAGCTGGATGTCAGGTCACATAAGTCACAATTCGCCCTCCTAAATTTGTATTTTTTTCCCTTGTCATTATTATATAAATACTATTTAACTTGTGGTATACTTTGATTACAAAAAAGTAAATGCTATGAAGGTTACTCAAAATTATTCTCTCCCCCGTGTTTGTATTTTCAGTTGTCTCTGTACAGTTTTTCTTGTATTTGCATTTTTCGTATTGTATTAATGTTCAATTGTTTCTATTCGTTGCCTAAATCTCTGTATTGTCAGCATCTTTCCGATTCATATTCATGGTATTCCTTTTTCAGTGCTCCATGCATGTAATAATGTCGGTCACCTGTTATTTGAAGTTTAGCATCGGTTTCCCTGTTAATGTTTCGTTGTACTTTCTTTAGCTGGATGTCAGGTCACATAAGTCACAATTCGCCCTCCTAAATTTGTATTTTTTTCCCTTGTCATTATTATATAAATACTATTTAACTTGTGGTATACTTTGATTACAAAAAAGTAAATGCTATGAAGGTTACTCAAAATTATTCTCTCTCCCGTGTTTGTATTTTCAGTTGTCTCTGTACAGTTTTTCTTGTATTTGCATTTTTCGTATTGTATTAATGTTCAATTGTTTCTATTCGTTGCCTAAATCTCTGTATTGTCAGCATCTTTCCGATTCATATTCATGGTATTCCTTTTTCAGTGCTCCATGCATGTAATAATGTCGGTCACCTGTTATTTGAAGTTTAGCATCGGATTCCCTGTCTGCCTTTTGGATTCCTAAAACCAATAGCCATCTCTCTTATTGTCAAATATTCTGCTTAATATGCTCAAGTACAGTACTTTGGCAAAATTGTTAATATATTAATGCACAAACTGGAAAAGGATGTAAGATGGAATCCTCTGAAATACATTTACTTATGCAGTGTCTGCTACTTTTGAATCTTGAATGCTTTTGGCATTCTTCCGTATGTAAAAACAGCATAACACATTCAGTTTGCGTTTGTATGAGATAATAGAAACAATGGCTCATTTGTTCAGTGCATGTGTTGGAATTATGTTCTGGCCGGGTTTAAGAACTCGAATATGTGTTTGTATAGGATCTCAATTCTCATCTGCATTCTCGATATTGTTATGTATGGAAATCTTGGATGCTGATTTTACAGTTTTCAGTGGCACTCGTGAGGCTTGATCTCCTGCCCCCAGCTGGTAGAATAAAGACTTCTCGCTGTTGATATGGCAAGATAATCTTAATTCAATTTTATTGTTTGTTAGCCTAACACAAAGAGAGACATCATTCACTTTGGTAAATGTAGGAAATAATGGTACTCGCGAGGATAAAAGCATCTTTATCAAGAGATGAAGTTGCAATACTTGGCTTAGACCATTATGTTAGTAGCGTACTTTGAGTGATGAAGTTGTGTTACGTTGCTTATTCCATTATGTTCACGAGCATAATATCTACGTCTCAAGGCAGTGAAATGTAAGAGGAATCATCGTACATTTCAATGAAAAAATTAAAATCCACTACTAAAATGGATACAATATTTGCACAATGGAAATCATTCTCCGGCATTCCACATTAAGCATATTGAAATATCTATTGACTGGTAAGTAGAAATTCTACTAAAGAACAAATCCAATGGACATTACAAATGTAGCGACAACAAACTTCTTCTAAAGTAAGTACGTATATACTAAGCAAAATTCAAAAATATATTACACAAAGAAGCTGATTCAGTGCCTCGCTGCTCGAGATTACAAATAAGTCCTCTCACAACAATGTCCTGAGCAACATGATCGATCACTTATGGGACGGCCGCCAACATGAAAGGGCATAAATAACCCTGCCTTTCCATCCTTGTAGCACCCACTTCCCATCTTCGTCCACTGAAAAATCCTTGTGGTAGTTTAATTTAACCTTGTTCCTGATAAATTTCACGATCTCCTGGTCGAGTGGGAGCTGCTTGAAACCAGCTCGGAGATTTCTAACTTGCCACTGCTTGTATGTCTCTGGCCTATCGACCCTCTCCGTGCCTTCACAAGCTATAATGTTCATTGCATCCTTCCCAAAGAACTCTCTCTCGTAAAGTATTCTATCAGGATCCTCGCGGGGCACAGTAGCCTCAAATATATCAAACATGGACGAGAAATGGAAGAGTGCCTCTCTGAACCTCGTAACAAAGAAGGGGGTGTTGTACGTTCCATTGACAACTCCTTCGATGTACATATCAGGATTGATCCTCTTGATCAAGTTCAAAACAGAATCTCGTGGACTGCTCGCAATTACCGTCTCATCAGGCACATTATGAAGACGGTATAAACTATTTACTATAAGTAGCTCATTCTTGTCGATCTTAAGTTCTTCAAGTTGGACAGTTTCCCACTTCTTTGCTATGGCATTGAACTTGAACGGGACATTGAATCTCTTGCAGTATTTCGTGAGGCGAATCCCAGTCTCCTCGACCCTCTCTGCAGGGCGAAAACCCGGTTGGGGAAAATCTATTCCCGTGATGCGAAGCTTTGGTGGTCCACCGGGTTGTTCTGAAAGAGCCTTGATAAGGCAGGGCCACTGGAAACCATACAAAATGCCGAAATCGATGATGTGAAGTCTTTTTGCTCCTTTAGCTAATTTCCTGATGGATCTGTTTGCAAAGAAATTCGACATCTTCCTGTATGGGCATGCTGTAATGAATGTGTGGTAAGATTTCAAGATTTCAGAAGCCGATATCCTCGAGGAACCAAAAGCCGTATAGGATGCTGTTCCGGTGCCAGCCATACGGGCCTCGAGGGCCTTCGCAAAGTAATGTGCAAGTCTTTCTGTCTCATCGCCATGGGTAGAAGAATGTTGCCTTATCTTGATTAGAAGCTCATTAAACGTCCTACTGTCGTAGCTTCCCACGGCTTGTGCACATTGCATTAAGAGACTCCTTAAATCCACCACTTCTTTCTGAAAACCTTGTCTCTTTCCACCTCGTGGCCTTCCTCGATTTGATCCCGTCAACTGTCTGTTCTGCTGGAACAACTTCTCAGAGTCACTTTCCACAGCCGGACAAAGCAACACCTTGTCAAACATCTCTAATGGCTCCGTCTCACCATTATTATTCGCCAACTGTTTGCTACTCCTATGTTCTTCTGAAAAAGCAGCCTCTTCCCTGTACCGGTTTTTCTTTTCTCTGGAAATATTCTGAGATAGATATTCTCCATTTCCCACCATGGCACCCTCAAACTCGCCCGCCTTTTCCTTAGGATCCAAATCAGATCCAAAAAAGGCATCATTTGGGGGGGAGGAAGTGATTTCTCCTACACTGCCACTAGATTTCAAACCAAATTTGTTTCCACTCAGAGAATTTTGCACCCGAGATGCATTCATGTCAAAGGCATCCAGCCCATAAACATCAGCATCAACACTGTTTGAGGAGCTAAATGACGGCGGATTTAACTGTAAATTTGACAGTGAAGAACACTGAATCAAGGGTTCAAAATCCCCCTGATTAAGGTACGATTTTGACTCAATTGAATCTGAATCATCTGATGAACTTTCACTACTAAATACACTACAGGTTTTCGTTAAATTACCATTTGGGGTTTGTGCGAATGGATCACCTATCGACGAACAAGGGGACTTGCCATTGAGGACATCAGACAAACACTTCTCGGCCGCTTGGAGAGCCAAGGAATCTTGTAGCATACAGGGCTTATTTCCTAAATCCTCTTCTTCCATAAGCATTTGGCTTATGAACTGGAGGATTTCATCAGAATGATCATTTTCTTTACAAGTTTCCCCTTCAGCATCAACGATGGATGATGATCCATTAGACACGAAAGCTAAATCCTTAAACTCATGATTCATTTTGTACCCATTCACATGATTTTCTTCAGGTAATACTGATTTTGAGCGGCAATTGAACTTAAAATCATTTGTCGGAGCCAAATATTGCCCAACAACATCCATAAGAACGAGTGACAAAAAAGATTGAAAATTAAGAACTGGGCTTCCTAAATCTATGTAAAAATAATGAGTTCAGCAACTGGGATGAATTTTAAAACAAACAAAAATAATAATTATAATAATAACAGCAGCGTTTAAGAAAAAATGACAAAAAATTGATTAGTAAGAATTTAGAATAATGATTAAATAGTACCTTCAGGAGGAAAAGAGAGATACAATGAATCAAGACACGAATCTAGATCTTGAACTAAGGTTTGACAATTGAAACAAATGTTTGAACGGCAACCTTTATTATATAGTAGCAGTTGCAGAGTCTTCATGCTAGGAGCAAAGAAACTTCCAGGAAATTCATGTTCTCCTCCAAATTTTCTCTGAAATGTATACTAATAATAAGTGGTAACTTCTCCAACCGGTATTCCTTCGAACATTCAATAACGTTATTTGTACAATATTTTTTACAATTTTAATTGACAGCGCACACACTCGACAACATCACATTTATTTATTTTAAAAAAATTATTTTTTAAATCAATATTCAAGAGATTAACAACACAATTGTCAGCAACAGCAGTACAAATAATTTTATTATAATATTTTTAGCTTATGTTTAATGGCCTTTAATACACTTTACTTTATTATTCATACTCATTTTCAATCATATTTATCCTATAAAATGTTTTATACATAAATTCAAAAAAATTTCCTACTTTTAATCACACATTCTTCAAAAAATATTATTTAAAATATAATTTTTTCAAATTAAAGACCACCAAACAGGGGCTTAGTATAATAAATTATTGAATGCAAGATTAGATTTGTCAAGAAATTTTTATTATATAGCCCTTGTTTGACTTTTTTTTTAACTTATTTTTACCACACGTTTTTTAATAAAATAATTTTACATGTTGATGTAGATTAATTAGAAGAGAAAATCCTAAACATTGGCCAACTTTGTCAAACGTTCGGAGTGTAAATTTTTCCTACTTTTTAAGTTCCCGTTTGGTAGTAATTTTTCAACTCAAAAAATTAACTTTTTGATCGTTATTTCACTATTTCAACCGTTATTTTTTATTTTTTACTCACAGATGGAAATCATTTTTTTCTCAAGAGATCAAAAAATCAATTCTCATAATCATTACTAAACAAGTCGTAAGTAAGCCTCCGTTTGGTACTCATTAAATTACATTTTTATTTCTTCCATTTTCAATTACAC